TATTATATATATATGTAATATATTACATATATACATAATATGTAGATATTATATGTAGACACACAATTTATTATGAAGAATTGTCTCACATGATTATGTGGACTGAGAAGTCTCATAAGCGGCTGTCAACAAGCTGGAGGCCCAGAAAAGCTGGTGGTGTAATTCAGCTTGAGTCTGAAGTCTGGGGAATCAGGGGAGCTGATGTTATGCATCCCAGTCCAAGGGCAGGGGAAGATAAGAGGAGATGTCTCAGCTCAGTGGGCAGACAGAGAGCAGAAAGGGGCTAATTCCTCCTTTCTCCCAGTTTCTGTTCTACTCAGGGCCTCAGTGGATTGGATGACGCCCTCCACATAGGGGAAGGTCGATGGCTTTACTGAGTCCATTGGTCAAATGCTAATCTCATCCGGAAACACATTCACAAACATGCCCAGAAACAACATTTAATCAGGGCACCCTCTAACCCAGTCAATTTGACACATAAAATTAACCATCACACTCCATCATCAATTCCCTCCTCTTGGCATTCTAGAACTTTCTCAGCAAAGTGCAGTCACACAGGAAAGCCCAGGAAGTGAAGTGTGCCCTCAGTTTTCAGTAGACTCCAAGGCAAGGCCTCTCTCTAGGTAGAGGTTAAAAAAAAAAAAGGGTCACATTAGGGGTATGGACCATCTGAGCTGTCATTTCTACTCATGAGGCATGAGCAGAAGTAGCCACTGAGATGAGAACACATCTTCAATCCTAGATGGGCTGCAAGGAGATCCATACCTGCAATAATTCCAGGGCAGAGGATGGGGAAACACCTGGCTGTGACTCAGTCTCCTTGTGGGGCTGGCAGACTGACAGCTGGCTTCCTCTGGTGACTGTGCTGAAGGTCCTTTGGGTCACCAATAGTGAGGACCCAATGAGCTCCCAGCCCAAGTGAAAGAAATCCTATTTCAGGAAAGGAAGGGGAGAAGGGGCTGCCCACCAGCCACATGCCCACCCATACCCCACAATCACAGAGAAAACATCTTCCATCTGAAAGCAAGACTCCCATTGCCACCACAGGCTAGACCCTGTCCCAGGCTCCTAGGTGATGGCCGACACTTCTGAGCTACAGCAGTGACTAGTGTGGAGCCACCCTCAGTACCGTAAATGAGGTGCTGTGCAGGGAGCATGCGTGTTGTATAATAAAGAATCTGGCTGCTCTTTGTTCCTGGTTTCTGGGAGGGAGCCTCTAAATCCTTAGTATTTCCCGAGTGATAGGAGTGTCTTCGTTATCCATGGGCGGGGCCTGGACTGTGTCTGAGTTTATGCTAGTGAGATGATTCAGGATGGGGGCTGGCCATGGAGAAAGACCAACCATGTGATTAGGGAATTTGGGTTTTGAGCCATGTGATATCGGCCGGACCTCCAGGGAGGGGAGAGGAGCTGGAGATTGAGTTTAGTCATATGGCTAATAATTCAATCAATCATGCCTACTTAATGAAACCCCAGTGAAAACTGTGGACACAGAGATCTAGGGAGACTTCCAAGGCTGGTGAACACATCCCTGTGCCAGGATGGTGATGTATCCTGAGGATACAGAAGCTTCCCACCTGAGATAACTTCCCTTTTCAGACCTCCCCTCATGCATCTCTTCATTTGACTGGTCCTGATTTGTATCCTCTATAGTAAAATTGTATAATCATAAGTATGGAGCTTTCATGAGTTCAGTGAGTAATTCTAATAAATTATTGAGCCTGAGGGGATTTTGAGGAATTCCCCCAAATTTATGGCCAGTTTATCAGAAGTACAGGTGGCCTGGGAATTTCTGAGCTTACATCTGGTGTCTGAACCAACCCTGATGGCAAATGGATCTTGAACTTCTAGCCTGTAGAACATTGAGAAAGTTAATCTTTGTTGTTTAAGCCATTGAGTTCATGGTATTTTTAATAGTAATGTCTTTTTATTTTTTATTTTCTAATTTTTTTTTAATGATGACATTGGTTAACAAAATCCAATAAATTTCAGTCTTGACCTCCATCTTCACATAGCTGTCTTCCCTTTGTGTCTGTCTGTGTCCAAATTTTTCTTATAAGAACACTAGCCATATTTGAGTAGGGGCCATCCTAATCAAGTATGACCTCATATTAATTTGATTATATCTGCAAAGACTCTATTTCCAAATTAGATTATATTTACACGTATCGAGAATAAGGATATCAATAAGGATATATTCTGGGGGGACACAATTCAATCCCTAACAGAAAATGTCATCTTAGCAACATAAATCTTCCAATTCATGAATGTGGGACACCTTTCTATTTCTTTAGGTCTTCTTTAATTTATTTCTGTTTTGTAATTTTGTGATTTTCAGTGTGCAGATCTGTCATCTACATGGTTTAGTTTCTTCATAAGTAATTTATTCTTTTTGATGCTTTTGTAAATGGAATTGTTGTTCTTAATTTTTTTTGGATGGTTTGTTGCTAGTGCATAGAAATACAAGTGATTTTTATTTGTTGATTTTATATCCTACAACTTTACTGAGCCTGTGTAGATTCTAAAGGGTTCCCTATATATAAGATCATGTCATTTGTGAGCAGGTATAATTTTATTTCTTCCTTTCCAATTTGGATGCCTTTTATTTCTTTTACTTGCCTAATTATTCTGCCTAGAATAAAAGTGGTGAGAGCGGACATCCTTGTCTTGTTCATGATCTTAGGGGAGAAGCTTTAACCATTGAGTACAGTGTTACCTGTGGGATTTTCTTATAGACCTTTATTATGTTGAGGTAGTTTGTTTCTATTCCTAGGCATTAACTGTTTTTTTTAAATCATAAAATTACGTTGAATTTTGTCAAATACTTTTTCGCATCAACTGAGGCGATCAAGTGGTTTTCTTCTTCATTATACTAATGTGGTATATTATATTGATTGATTTTCAAATGTTGAATCATTCTCATTCTGGGGATAAACTCCACTTGGTTGTGATGTATAATCATTTAAAAATGCCATCGAATTGCATTTGCTAGTATTTTTTGAGGATTTTAGCATCAATAATCGTGAAGGACATTGGACTGTAGTTTTCCTTTTTCGAGTGTCTGTCTTCCATAGGTATTAGAATAGTGCTTACCTCATAGCATGTGTTAGAAAGTTCTTCCTTCTCTTCAGTTTTTTGGAAGCACTTGTGAAGCATCGGTGTTAATTCTTTAAATATTTGGTAGAATTTGCCAGTGAAGTCATTTGATCCTGGCTTTTCTGTTGCTGGAAGTTTTTCTGATTACTGTTTCAATCTTTTAGAAAGATTATAGGTCTATTCAGAATTTCAGATTCTTTGTGATTTGGTCTTGGTAGGTTTTGTGTTTCTAGGAATTTTCCCATTTCATCTAGGTTATCTAATTTGTTGTTGTATAATTGTTCATAGTAGTACTTTCTTACCACTATTTTTCTTTTTAAAAAACAGCTTTACTGAGATATTGTTGACATATAAAATTTATATATATATATATGGTGTACATCTTGATGTTTTGATATATGTGTATATTGCGAAATGATGACCATAATCATATTAATTAATATATTTATTACTTCTACATAGGTAACGTGTGGGTGTGTAGGTGTGGTGAGAACATTTAAGATCTATCCTCTTAGCAAATTATAAGTATAAAATACACTATTGTTAAGTATCGACACCATGAAGTACATTAGATCTCCAGAAATTATTACTTTTGTATAACGAAAAACTTTGTACCTTTGACCAACATCACCCTATTTTCCCCTTCCCCCAGTCCCTGGCAACCACCATTCTACTCTCTGCTTCAATGAATTTGACTATTTTAGATTGCACATAAGAGGGAGATCATTCAGTATATCTTTTTCTGTGTCTTGCTTATTTTGCTTAACATAGTATTCTCCAGCTCCATCCATACTGTAAATGGCAGGATTTCCTATGTAAGCCTAATATTTCATCATATATGTATATAGCCATTGTATATGCATAAAGGAATTTTTTTATATCCATTCATCCATCAACAGACATTTATGTTATTTCTATACCTGGAATAATGCTGCAGTGAACCTGGGAGGGAAGATATCTCTTTGCTATCCTGTTTTCTT